GAGAAGGTTCAACCCCTTCTTTTCGGTCTGAGATAGCTAAACCTTATATCTGGCGTCAGCGGCAGGGTTATAACCTGTGTCCTATCTCTGACGATGTCTTCCGAGCAGGACAACCCCCCTCTCAAACCTCAACAACGACGGGCAACTGTCCCCCGGCAGTAACGCCTAGAGCCTCGATCCCCCCGTCATCGCCGAATCCGCGATCCCCCGTCCGGAGGCACCCCCAAATCCAAGGGTACCCCCCCCCCCCCAACGACCCTTCCTCGGCCATCTACACCCCCGTCGCCCACTCTGTCCGCGGCTCCATTGACAAGAAGTTTGTTGTTCCCAATCAAAGATCGCACCAAAATCCGACATGGCACTGTTCAGTATGGAATCGGGTCCTAGGGAAGGGACGACAAGGGCGGTGACGGTACGGGTGATACCGCAAAGTTTTCATGGAAACAATGAAAACCATGACCTCTATTGTATCGGCGACCCGTTCGCTGCTCGAAGGGATACGGCGGCCGGAGGGATAGATTTGAGCGGCGCATTTGGCAAGGTCGGACGGGATTGCAACCATGGAAGCGACCCGTCAGAGACACCAGTAGCTGTGTCCACTGTGGTGTTACTCACGGGTTAGTCTTCGACGGAACCGTCAATTTAGACGCGTCGTGGACACAAGTGACAGGAAAGAAAGATTGGGTTTGTTTGTGCGCCAGCCGTGAGCTGTACCACACATCGTCTGAAAGGGAACATGTGCCCTTCCTTCACACCGACGTCTCTGAACAAGGCGTAGACGCTTTCCTCGCTCAGCCATCCCGCGACAGCGCCGACGGTGAAGAACTCGATATCGTCGCGTTTCATAGCAAATGTTTTTCTCGAGGTCAACGCCAGTACAGCGCTACCATGAAAGGACGCACTGCGGTCGTCTGGGCCCTCACCCACTGGGGCCCATACCTTTGGGGCCATCGCTTTACGTGTGGCACCGATCACCAAGCCCTCACGTATCTGTACCACATGCAAGACACGTCCACGATGTTAACGCGCTGGGCTATCGCACTCCAGAACTGCGATTTCACTGTCAAACACTTGCCGGAAAACCTCAACGTTGTCCCCGACACCCTGTCTCGAATGTTTAGAGAGGTCAACGGCAACCCTGTGCCGTCCGAACCAAACCTTGTGGCCATATGTCGCAGCGCACCCGATGATAAAACTCTCGCGGGGGACAACAAAAGCAGGTGTACCGACAGCTGCTGACGTGGAGAGTTTTCTCTCTCGCCTTTCCTCCCAAGTGCAGGAGACAACCCAACTACCGCAGGCGTGACGTTAGCTAGGCAACCCTACTTCGTCGCTATCATCGCTAGGGTCCTCGATGCGAGGAGTACGGTCGCCGGCGCGAGGGCTTCGCCATCGGACGACTGTTCTCCGGGAGTGTTCTCCGGGAGATTAGTCGTCCGATGGCGAAGCGCTCGTGCGCCGAAGACCGTATTCCCCGCCACAAGGACCCTAGCGATGATAGCGATGAGCAGGGTTGCCCAGCTAGCGTGGCGCCTGCGGTAGTTGGGATGTCTCCTGCAATTGGGCAGGAAAGGCGTGAAGAGAAAACTCTCCAGGTCAGTAGCTGTCGGTACACCCGCCTTTGTTGTTCTAACGTAAACTCCAATTGCTATGACGTGGGGGCAAGTCAGAAGTCGCTCATACTCTGCTTGCCGTGTTGTTTGTCACGTGCGCGGGGGTGAGGTCGCCCGGTCGCCTGGGTGATTGTACACCCTTCATTTCGCGATCGCTTGACACATCACGCTACAGCAGTATGGGCCTGGAGTTGTAGCTACGGGGTGTTGCAAAGTAGGCCGCGCGGTGCAAAGTATGGCCGCGCGGTGCTTGCCGGTTGTCTCCCTCTACCCCGATGCTGCCGCATCTTATGCACAGCAGGCTACTACTGCTGCTTCTTCTGCAAGCAGGTCTCGACCAGGTGCCCTCCTCCAGGCGCGCTTCTTGCACCCGGGGTGTGTGATAGGTGCTTGTTTCTCCCCACGGAACCCCCGCCGGGGACCTTTCTTTGCCCTTGTTCCGGAACCGCGCGCTTGCCGAAGGCGGCTGTTGAAGACGATATTTCTTAGGTGGAAGAGAAGCAAAACTTGTGCAGGGGTACAGCACTATCCGACAGAAATTTCTTCCTCGTTGGTCGAAAACGACGTCCGTTCGTTCGTCATGGATTGCTGAACGCGGTTGGTCGTATTTCTTGCTGAAAGCGGTATTCTGAGGGGCGAAGATAGGTTTGTGCAGTGCAGGTATGAACATATGTTCATTCGACAAAATAACCGTTTATTGTAACTGCTGTGGTGGCCTGTGAGGAACCTTGGGGCAGTAACTGCTGTGAATGGTTGAATGGTTCAGCGTCGGTGAACTCTTCTATTGCAGTGTTCAAAAGCCGTACAACGTACAACGATCTTCCGTAACGATAGATTTGGATATGTGCAGCCGTAGCATACATTCGACAAAATGTTCGTGTTCCTTGGTCGAAAGCGACCTTCGTTGTAGGACACCCCCCGGGAACGATAAATCAGCGTGTACCCTTCACAACGGACGGCAATCATTTAATGTGAATGATCAACGGTTCGTGCCACCATCAAGGCTTTCGACAGTCATGTCTACCGACGCCAAGGCCCCGCGTGTGGAGAATGTACAGATTTTTTTTTTTGGTTCATCTAGCCCACAGAAGTCAAACTGCACATGCTGCTTATACAATATGAGAGAGAATGACGTGTGGGGTGTTGTCCATCAAATCCATATGACTCCACGGGCCGTGATGCATATGCGTATGCATGCCGAACAAAACCCAGGACCTTTCATGAAGAAGATCAACCTACCGCTACGGGGGGTAGACTACCGTTTGGAAACGCAACGTCGCAATTGGCACATAACGCTGTTGGGAATGTGAATGAGATGCTTTGCTCTTCATTCTGCAGTACAACCACGGTCATGCATCTGGGGCAAATGGCGATAGCCTCCTATTTAGGTACCGCGAGTGACACACATACACACGTTGCAGCACCCACACATGGACACAGGTATACAGCAAGAGCGGGGTGATCGAATAGGCCGCTCTACTCGCTGCTCCGTCCTACGCTGTGACCAAACCTAGCTCCACACTACGAACATCAAAATACTTCCAGGTGTCTAACAGAACAGCACAGGGGGCTAGCACATCTGTCTGACCCCGCGTATGACGTATGATAACAACAGGGGTTGGTGCGTGTGCCGGCGTCTCCTTGAACACTGCTGTGGAAAAAAGCGGCCCAATTTTCATTAGGAATTTGCGTGCGTAAGTCATGCCCAAACCTCTATCGATGCCTGGCGTACAATAGGATAAGGCATCTCAAGCCGAGGGGGAGGTCCTCTCATAAAACCCCACGTCCCTACAGGCACAACGCCCCGACCAAAATGGCAGGGCCCTAGGGTCATCATATCATACTTGCTCGGCCGAAATATGTATGTGTTCCACCTACAGCAGTATGTTATGTATGACGGCTCTTGGATCATGCTGCGCGAGAGCGAGCCGGACGTGCCTCCTCACTGACCTGCGGCTTCCGGAGCCTTGGAGGTATCCTGGGCGGGGCCCACCGGCGCGGTCATGGGATCGTTCATGGCTTGGTGTTGTGAAAAGAAGGTAACTACTCTTTGTATCCCCTGCAGCGGCGCTCGAGCTCGTGTCGTACTTGTAGTGCGTTCCTGCTTCCCGCCGCGTCCCGCGCGCTGGGCACTGATATCCAGCTTGGTGGGTATTGGCGGGTATCTATCATCCTGCTATCTGCGGCTCCCCCGCCAATCCAATTGTCCAATCAATATCCGGGTGGGTGCTTCATCACATCTTGCCTAACGCTACATGGAGCGTGTGAGCAACATGGATTGGGACAGAGCAAGATCGTCGCCATGCCTTCCGTACATGATGGCCTCCGCTCTACGCGGTGTGCCCAGCATCCTCCAGAGCATCGTCGCCTTCGTAGGGATTCTTCATCATCATCACGCGCAGGCTTTTGCATCACCAACGGGCATTTCAGTGGGAGTCAACGAGGGCTTGCTGGTTACAGGGTGAGAGATGCTGGGCACCGTCAAGGAGCACCGCTACTACCAACAGCAGTGCGGATGTGGTGGCGGTTCTGGTGTTCTGTGCTTCCTGCTGTAGGCCCAGCTAGATCAGCGGATTTCAAACGTCCCATTTGAGTACAAAACGCAATTTGTAGAATTGCGGCGCATCTTTTCTCCGAAATTGGGACCAAGCTTAGCCTCATCAGGCACGCCGAAGGCGTGCTTCAGGCATGTGCAAAACAGCCCGCCGCAGGCGAAAATTTTTTGGGTCAGGCAAAATTTCAGGTATTTGCCTGACACCAGGTTTTTGCCTGAAATGCCTGATTTGAATCAGGCAACCTGCCTGAAAACTTGCCTGACACTTGCCTGAAACCCATTCTAGTCGTTTTGGCGCCCTAATTACGCAACTGCTGTAGCGCGCAACTAACGTGCACCGGCAGTGTTGGCATTCAGGGCTTACCCTGAAGTATTTAGACACGTAGTTAACGAAAAATGTATATTGATTTATGTTGCAAACAAATTTTTTTTGCCCCGTACAGCAGTAGTACGTTGGTTCCCCCCATTCACCCCATGCGTCTCGACTCAGTACTCCACCAACATCAGCAAGAGGTTGCTTGAAGCGGGCGAGGGGCGAGGGGCGAGGTACAGAGAGCACACAGAAGCTGGAGGAGTAGAAAGAAACAGAGAAAACCATTACTTCGCAAATATTGTACAGATGCCAAAGAAACCAGACAAACGTTCAAAACAAGATTCGGACATTCAACGTTCGACAACAAGCAAAGCATTCCCCGCCGACGCAAGGCATGGTAAACCGATAATTACCATCCTCCCCAACTTCCATCTGTTTGATGTGTGCAGAAGCATAGACAACGCTAACAGTCAACGAGCTCTAGGAGCAGGGGGCCAGGATTTTTAGAATATGACCGCAGGTAAATGCGAGCAGCCAGATTATTGGCGCCCCCTCGACTTTCCCGCAATCCCTTTCATGTACGCACGGGCAAGAAAAGTTAGCTGGCAGCATCTTGCTGCACGACCACACGACACACTGCCAGCATGACACTACCAGCACGGCACACCGCTAGCTAAACTACCACTGGCCCATCATTCGTCGAGCGCGCAAGGCCGCGGTTGAAACGCAATATCACAGTCAGCTCGAACAGGTCGTTCAGCATGTGTGTCTGCTGCTTGCCGAAAACGTTGTTCATGACGGAAAAGGCACGTTCCATCATCGCCGAAGACGGCTGCAGAAGCCACAGCTTGCGGACCAGGTCGAACCACGATGGAAGCTCATCCTTGTTGCACAGCCAGAAGTCTCGGGTTGAGGTGGACAAGTCCGGGAGGCTCTTGACGGTGGAGAAGTACCTCGGGAGCTCCACCAGCAGGTTCGTGAAGACGGCGGGAGTCACGAACTTGAAGGATCTCAATCCTTCCATGCTCTCCGACATCTTCTGCATGTCCTCGTGCATCGCAACGAACGATGGTGTGATCGCACGAGCAGCCTTGAAGAGCAACAGCTGCGTCCTGAACTTCGCGTCGTCGTGGCCACCGAACCGCTCCCATGAGTACTCGCGCAAGTCCTCGATCCAAGTCATACAAAGGTTGCGCATTTCTTGCTTCTTGAGCTCCAGGACAACTCCCTCGAGTTCCTTCGTGGATTCACGGATGATAGCTCCCATGTTGGGATAGCATGGGTCGGCTGAACAAGTCTATAGACATCTTGT